TGATGCCTGAAATATCTAATAATGAAGAGATCTTAGTGTTAAAATAGAACTTCTGAAAAATCACATTATCTTGTAAAACTCAAGATATGAGGAATTATCAGAAAAGTAAGAGAAGAAAGCATTTTGTGTGTGTGTAAATTCATAGTGCTCATCTTTCATCCTGTGGTTCTTGTGGTTCTCCTGCTGAAAAATACTAGAAATGGTACAAAGATCAGAAACAAGTAGGGTCAGAGTTAAGGAACAGCTAAACTGCTGACTCATCTGTGGACCTTCTTGCCACAGGATACTTTTGACACTAGAAGTTGGTGTGGGTTCAAAACATGATGGGACAATGCCATGAAAGAGGAATTTGTTGAGGACTGTTGCATACTCAGTTGATGTCTTCAGGTAAGAAGTCCTTAAACTGCAGTTACAGTGCACCTGGGGGAGTGTTAGGGGAAAGCATCGCCCCAGTCTTGCGTTGCTCCTTTCTTCACCTCTTCTGCAGATATCTGCTGGTTACAGTCTTCACAGATAATATGTTGTCATATGGTGAAGTTGTTTTGCCTGGGCTTTCTTGGTGCACAAAATTTATGTGGCTGGTATGCAGTGTTCAAGATATAAAAGGTCACTTAAAGTTGTCTTAAGCCTTCAGTGGTGATAGGGGTAATGAGTATAGTACTTCTGTGGGTGTCCTAGGAAATCAGTTCCAGAAATCAAGGTTGTAACTTCCAAAAGGTGGAGATGAAAAAAAGTCCTGTAAATTCCATATGCTGGCTGCTGCTCAGATGTTTGAGTTTAGATAACAGAGCTTCCCATTCCGGTATCATTGCTACCTGCTCTTAACTATGAAGCTTTTAAGGAGCGACAGGTTCTGTCCTCTGCAGGTTTTTTCTCTTTAAAATTTGCTGGCATCCAGAATAGCTGAGTTTATGGTACTGATTTAGTATTAACGCTTCTTTACACCTTCAGAGTTAGTTGTATTTGTGCCATCACTGCTTTAGGAAAGGCAAACAGAGCATGTATTGGGCCAGTGTAACTAAGGAAGGAGGAACTATTTTCTGTGATGCACATCACTGTTGTAGTTGCTAAAAATGAGATATGCAGATCTTTTTAACATACCTGTGTGTGTTAATACAGCATGGCACATAAAGCCACTTGAGAACTTCCTTACTGCGCCCTAAATTATAATTTATTAAGTCATAGTAAAGTCTCTGTAATACAGTATTAAAAAACCCCAAACCTTGATCTCTTTAAAATAACATCTGAATTAGTGGAGAGACCTGTTGAAACACAGCTGTGTTATGAATGGCAAAATTGCAAGATGAAAAACAACATGGAGGGTTCTTTTTCCTAGAACAAATATTTCACTTAGTGAAGGCAAGTGGCCAGATTTAAAATGTACAGTTTGATCACGGAAGACAAGTATTCTTAAAAGAGTTGAACAAATCAGTAGCTTTTGTCTGAGATTTTTTTAATGTCTATTTAGACTATTTACTGTTTACTGCCTCTTTCTGTCATCTAAGTCGAAAAGATACAAATGTTGGTTCTTAAATGGTGGTGATGTTCCTGCTGATCTGCTGTACAGCTGAGACTTTAAGTTATGAAATTAAAACCGCTGTTGGAATTTATACCTGATTGAAAGGCTTGCTGCAAATAGCAGCTCAGAGCAGTGAAGTGGAAACAGATCTGAGGAATCACTAGAGATGGGGAGCGGGGGTGGCACGGGCCATTATAAACATCTCCTGGCCGTGGACATCCTCATAAAGCCGTAACCATAGGAGCCCAGGTGATATCCCAGCCTTCTCTCCTTTAAATGCAGTAGTGTTTATTGGGCATCATGCCTCTTGAAAATTTGGGACTTCATCCCGTAAGCTGTTAACATGGCTCTATGCATGTCCAGCCAATCCTGGGTTTGATCTTCAGCATTACAAGGTTTGGGGCAAACATGATGTGGCTTAGGTAAATTTTTGCCTTCTATGCTCTTTGTATTCATTAACCTCCTGAAGACTAGGCTCAGGAGTACTCTGCAACGTTTCTTATGCAAACATTTGGTAATCAGTTTTTCTCGCTTAACACTTACATTTTACGAACTTGATAGAAATGTTGAAGACCTACCTCAGACCCAGCCTAGAATATAAATAAGAATATAGAAATACTAGAATTAGAAATTAGAATTAGAATTTAGAAATTATAGAATATAATAATATTTTATTACTAGAAAATACAGTCTTGGCTTTTGGAGGACTATTTTATGCATAAAAATTGTTTGCAGAATGAAGTTTAGTGTTAACAGTCTTGTACCTTACTAAGTCCAGGGAAAACAAAAGCTGGTGATGAATGTTTTTTTCATTCAAAAAAAGAGCATTTCTATTTTAAGCATTCAGATGTGATTATTTGCTGTCAGATTTTTAAGTAGAAGCTGAAAATAAAATACTAAAATTATTAAAAGGCTTCTGCGGCACTAGCTATAGGGAGCAGGACACAGTATTATGCTTCCTATTATAATTGCAGCATATTTCAGTGTTCAAGGTCAGAAAGCAGTTCTCTCTGTCTGAATGGTACTGCAGCAAACTTCCTTGTGCTTTGTGATTCTAGTTCTCTTGAGAGCTGTTTTGCAAAAGTCCGTCATAGCTATACAGGTATCCTTCAGGGATTTCTAGACACATTTCTGCAAATTTATTGCAAAAAGAATGTGACATTTTGAGAATGAGTCTTTTACTGTAACTTGTAAGAGCAATGACCACAGTTTTCTGTTTAACTGAAATGTTGAAAAGCAGTGTTTAGATTGGCTTTGGTTTACAAATGTCTTTGAAGAAACAGTTCCTTAAACACACAAAACATGCACAAATCTGCACAATTCTGACTGTTCTGTTATCTGAGCACTTCTTTAATGGTGAAAGTTAAAAACCATTTCATTTTTGATACAAGTACACTTCCCTCTTATTAGCAATTAATAACTGAACATAAGCACTGTTCACTGCCTTAATACGTATTTTGACAAATATGGGAATATGTACTATACAGGGAACAGAATGTTAAGTGTTGGACCCGTTGGACACCTTGCAAGTGCTTTGAGAGGAGAAAGTATTGATGGGTAGTTTATGCCAACCCTACGTAATCAGAAGATTTTATGTTTTTTTTCAGAGAGTGCTTGCCAGTTCACTCAAAATCTGCACCATGAGGCTTTCTTGTCAAAGCAGACCTGAGCACCTTCAAAGCATGGTGGTATCCCTTAAGTCTCCATGGGGGGAGATCTGTTCCATCTCATACACAGTTCTTTTTTCACTGAAGTTTTCTTTATAGATTAATAATTGTATTATTTGTATTTCTGTTGCCAATTGCCTTGATTGCGCGAGGTATTTGTCATACGAGAGAAGGTAGATGAATGTGTCAGTTCCTAAATCCGAGGAAGGAAGGACAAGATAGGTAATTATATATCAATATGTGTAATGGGACTTATTAAGAATTTCACTTACCCTCTAACTTTGGGATAGGGAAGTGTTTTGTTCCTTCTAATGTAGAATGTAAAGAAACTATGTGATGTGTAGAACCAAGTGGATTAATCCACAACTTTGATAGCATCCTTTTTTTTTTTTTTTTCTCAGTGTAATTCACTTTTTAAAGTTTGCTACTTTGAGATGGGCTGCTGCATAGCTGTGAGAAAGGACTTGAAAATAACTTGTTTGGGCATGTATTTTAAATCAAATCATTTGTTGACTTGAAAAGGAAGCCATTAATCTCTGTAGGCTAAAATATTCCTCCGCTTAAGGATAAGAAGGGTAAGTGGGTCCTGGCTAAGGTATAGCAGGGGGGTGTCTGGGTCTGGCTGGTGGTTTTGCACAGTATTCATGGTAATGAGCAGTTACTTACACGATTAACATGACATGGTTGCGCCACACTGTGTTGGTGTGATAACAAACTGAGTATTGATAGCATTCAGTACCATGTGTTGCAGTGGTTCAGATAAACATCAAAGGCAAAGGGCTGCGCAAAGGGCATGAGATAAAAAGGGTGCACCTGCCTGGCCCTGCCCTGGAAGAGTGCTGAGTCTGTCAGGTAGGGCACTTCGAAGTAGGAAATACACACTTCTAGCTAACAATAGATCATTAATCATGGTGATCAACTGGAGTATTACTTAAAGTATTCTAGAAACTTTTGCCAGCTCATTTTATTTCGATGTGTGCTCAAGATCTGTTTTTTTAGGAGTTTGCATCTTGGGGAAGTCACTGACTGTCTTATGTGCATTTCTTTTCTCCAAACTTATATCTAGAGTTGTTAGTCTTTAAAAATGGTACACTTACTTTTATTGAGCTGTATGCAATTTTTTACCAGTTTGTTTTTGTTATTTTGTTGGGGGTTTTTTTTGTTTGGTTTGGTTTTTTTTTATCCTGGAATATCAGTAAGCAAGTTGAAAAGAACAGCCAGGACTCCTGACTTTGTTTAGTGACACCCTCTCCAGTTTTGCTTCTGTAGCCAGTGTTACAGCCCACAGTGCTGCTGTCTGTGTTATGTCTTTTCTCCTCCACAATGTTGTCAAACAGTAACAGAGGAAACTTTTTTTGACCCTTGCAGGAGTTTGTGTTACACACATTATCATGTATTAGGCTAGAAAATGTGCCCAGGCATCAGTAGGCATTTATTGCATACTCTTCTATTTTAGATCAGTTTGCTTCTTCAGACCAGAGACACATTTAGAAGCATTTTGTGTAATTTACAGTACCTAATCTGGATGTTTCTAGGAAAACTCAAGTGTGTTACCTTAGTATGGCAAGACCTTTGATTGTACAGAGATCCAGGTTGATTAGTAATAGACTAACATCACCATGTGAGTTTGACAAGAAAATAATGTGTTGAAACATGAGGAAGGGGGTCTCAATATGATGGAAAATCTCTGTGAGGCTATCTTAAGACTTGAGAAGGACTTCTGAGGTACTAGCCTTAAATTCAGTCGTAGTCTGGAAAGCTAGGTCTGTGCTACATGAATTTATTTTTCTTCTGGTTTGTTTTGTGTCTCCTAGTGTCCCAATGTAATATCAGCTTGAAGAAGCAGAGGAGTCGAAGTATCTTTAGCACCTTATTCTGCTGCTTTCGTGACTACAATGTCGAACCACCATCAGCCAACAGCACCAGTGCTCTGCCTCCTTTGGTGGAGGAGAATGGAGGACTTCAAAAGGTAAGGCCTTTGTCTTACTTTGCTCTTATATGGGTCTCTTGTAAACAAGGTTTAACTCTGTGCTTCTGGAGGTTTGCCTTAATAGGTTTCCTTCATGGGGAACGTTTTAGTTATTACAGGAAAAAAAAATACTATTTTGGTGGGGAATTGCTAATACTATCTAGTCAGCTGCAATTTAAAGTGGAACTTTTTTTTGTGAAGGGTATTGACACTATTCACTTGATAAGCAAGCATCATTTAAAAACTGAATAAGACACTAAAAATATTTGGACTTCTCATAAAACTTGAGATGCTGAGTTGTCTGTAGCTTTGGTTCTCTTTCCTAACTACAGGAAGGTTAGAATGTGTCCACTGGAGTGTAGTGGAACCTCTTTGAATGTCAGTTGAAAGGGTTTTCAGTGACATAAAACCAGTTTAGAATGGGGAGAACATAATTGTGTGGACCTTTTTTCTAACCACTTAAAAGGTGTCAGCTTTTGGCCATTTTTCCAGGTTATTAAGTTTCGTTTACCTAATAAATTAAATGATAGAAATTTTCAGCAGTTCAAAGCACTGCATGTGAGAGCAGTGTGTTGCTTTCGTTGAATTTTAGCAATTATATTGCTTTAACATATTCATAAAATCAAAACACAAATGATTTTATGTTCTTTTTAAATCTGATAACACTGAGAATTTGTGTTATGAACCAAAGGATCTCAGTTCAATATAGCAAGCATAGGAATACTATCTTTTCCGTACCACACTGGTTTTCTGCACTCTCAAAACTCCGCTAGTCCCATACTCTCACTTGAAACACGATTCCGCTTGCACTTTTCTAGGACTTTAAAGGATTGCAAATACAGGATTATCCATGATGGGGAATAATGGTCGAAATGGAAGTGTTTTTCTTTTCATGCTTCTGCTCTTCACAATAATTTTTTATGCTTGATGCAGCTGATCTTTTTCTTGCCTTGTCCAGTCCATTTTATTTTTGTTTTGAATTTTGCTGCTATGTTTTAATTCTGAAGAGCTCAGGAGAGAGCAGAGGAGCTGTTTGGTGGGAGAGAGGAAAGGAAAGCAAATTCAAGTGATGGAGGCTGAGAATATGTGTGGAGTCTGAACTGCAGTGATTCAGGCTGTAACTGCTCATGTAGAGGTGAAGTGCACTGAAATTCCTTTGCCAAGAGCAGTTGAATGTGTATTTTTAGGCTTATTTTGCCAGCCAAAGTACATTTTTACTGAAATGAGGGAAATCTAGCCTGGTTATGCTGAAGGGAAAGCTGAGTAGTGTGTAGCCTCTGTGCACATTTTCACCTGAGAAACAAAGGAATGGGAAACTAGCAAGATTTCCCTTTCCACTGTGCTATGGAATGGAAAGAAGGCAGGCTGCTAATGGCAAAATTAAAACTAAGAGAAAGTGGGAGTTCATGACAAAGAAAAACATAAAAACATAAAACAAGTTTACTTTTTCTGTAGAAAATGTGAGTTAAAATGTTCTAATGTCAGTAGTTTTCAGGCTGCATTTTGTAAGGCACTTAATTACTTTCTAAATATATCTTACGCCTTGAGCTAGTGATTGCATGTACATTCACATAAGCTTCCATCCTCACTCTTTGCTACCTTAGTAAACAGTTTTGAAGTTGTGCAACAGTTATACACAAGCCCAAGACAAAAATCACAGAATTCGTATGATTACCAGACTACAGCTTAACAGAGTAAAAAAAAAAAAAAAAAAAAGAAGAAAAAAAAAGAAGGAATATGTTTGTATTTTCTTTAAATAGAATGAAAGGCACTCAGATGCTTACAAATCTTTGCAGAAGAAGTAAAGCTTTTGGGTGTTTCTTAAGTGGAAATAAGTCTGTGACATTTCTAATAACATTTTTATGTGGTTTTATATGCTCTTTTTATTTTGAGTGTAAAGACAGTTAGTGTAAGTAGGAAATTCTTTTAAAGAAAAAGAGATTGAAAACTTGGGTACATTTGAGTATTGTTACACTGTCAGACTAGTTGGTTTTTTACCAGGAGAGCTGTGTTTTAAAACTCTGCAGGCTGGTTGAATTTGGTCAAGTTACACTTGAGCATCTTGTTCAGATTCAGAAGTGATAAGTAAGTTGGGGGAAAGTACATGCAGCAGTGGGCCTCAGTTTCTAAATTGATAAAATTAAATATCCAGGAATGGCAAAATTACTTGGTGCAGGGGAGAAGAAAGCCTGGCAACACATTGCTTAAACTCCTCTGCTGTTTAATTAAAAGCTGATTTTGCATTATTCTGACTGCCAGGTTAGAATAGTTTAAATTCTGTTGAGCTGCTGTTCAAATAGTCACTGACTTGTATCTGTTATCTTTTTTTTTGGTATATTTTATTAATTATCACCTCACAGGTGAGCTCTGACCCTGGCCCAGTCAGTTCATGGGCTGTGACCCTTTTCTTTAAAAATGGATAAAGAAAATTGCACAATAATCTTAAATACTTACCATTAGAAACTAAATTGGCTTGGATGTACTTTCCTCCTGTCTTTACTGTTCAGTAGAGTTACATAAAAATCAGTGATAAAAACTTCAGAGGAAGGGAAGGAATGGAGAAAGCTTCTGCTGGTTTCACAGGAATTCAGTGTTTGTTCTGTGTTGCTTCTGGCATGTTCTTGACATTTGAAGTTGATGTGACAAGGTAACTTCCTTCTAATTAGGAGTCTCAGTTCTTTAAATGCTAACCTGTTGTAAAGGAGGGAAAGCAGGGAAGAGTATTTTAGAAATTGAAAACACAGTTCTGAAATATTATTCAGAATAATTGTGTTGTGTGATTTAATTTTTATTATTATTTTGCTGTATTAGAAAACATGAAATCAGTGCTTGAGATACATCAGTGCTTCATTTAGTTTCTTGCCAAATAATGTGACTTGATTATGCTTGTCAAGTCACTTCTTTGTAGGATTGGAAGGAACACCAATTTGAGCATGTTTTTGAATAAACAGGGGTTTTCAAGTGCTGACTTCTGTTCTGTTAGGAAAAAAAAAAATCCCAAAAACTTCTTTAAAATATTGAGTTAATTTTTAAACCTTCTACTCACAGAGCAGCTGCTTGTCCAAGTGTGACTTTAATACTGGTAATGAATGGTCCATTCTGTCTCTATAAAGTTTCAATACATTTTTTCAATAATAACTTGTATTTACTGAAACTGTTGTATATTTGTTTTTCTTAAAATGCAGCAGCTTTTTAGTGCAGCAAAAAAATGTACTCTAAGATGCAGTATCAATTACAGTGGGTATATCAGCCTATCTGCAGCTTGGATCCTGAGCCAGATGTGTCACTGGGAGCACATAATGTTCAGAACTCATGAAATCCTTGCTAATTTTTTCCTGCCTCCTCAGCAGCAGGCAGCTTACCAACACCTCCCAGCCAGGATTTTATTTTTAGGGGCCAGTGTTGGGAGAGGGAAGTGTTTTTTGTTTTCCCCTAAATAAATTCAAATCTCAATTTCTGTTCTTCAGTTAGCAACTTGACTCAATTTGTGCATTTTCTGGACATGTTTCTCGATTTAGGTTTTTGTTTTTTCTGGGTAAGTTTGTTAGTGGCATTTTGGAGTGTTTGCAGACACAGATTTCATCTGTAGGTTTCAAGGAGGGATCTAGATAAAGGTGAGAAATGCTGGATTCAAACTAGCTCTTTCTTTTCCCTTTGCTTTCAGTCATGTGGTGGGTGAGGGAGCTCTGACAAGTCTATCGACACTTTGCCATTTCACTTACAACCCACTTCCACTAGAATCATCTTTTGCTTTTGTTTCACAGTTAGATCCAAATCGGGCAGATGGCTTGTGTTCAAGATGAAGCATGAATGAGGAACAGGTTTTTTTATGTTGGTTGGATTAGAGGAGAAGGTCCTGATCCACACCCAACAGGGAAGAAGACAGATTTAGAAGGTTTATTCTTGGGGTAGCAGCTGCCCCTGTTGCTTTCCCTGTAACAGGAATGAAGCCAGAAAGGTCAAGTCCTTGAATTTCCACCTCACCCATCCTAACCACTGCAAAAGTTAGGTCTCCTTCTTCACACTGCTTTTTTGCTGCACCATGCTGTCATCTCCAAGGTGATGCAGGAAAGCTGTTTAGATGACCTGTTGTTATGTCTCCAACACTCTTACTTCAGGGATCTCTATAATACAGTGCACGAAAAAGAATCTTCTCTGTTCCACAGGAATATGGGTCACCAGAGCAATAAAAATAGCTTGCAGGGAGCTTATTCTTGAGGCCAAAGGTAGTATCTCCTCCATCCAAGAGACACAGAGGAGCAACATGAGCATTTTCTCTGAGGGGGAGACTATTAATGGCATGCTTTCCAAACAGACATGGAAACCAGTCTCACTCTTCAGTGTGGAGGAAGATAATTGAGATTAATGCAAGTAATAGTACCCTTTCTCCTGCTTAACCTTCATTGGTCAGAGCAAGAAAATTCCTAGTGACTTGTATGGTTGATCACCATCAGCATGTGGTATGGCAGGTCTGTTTAGAAGACAGAATCCCCCTTAGCGATGTTTTGTTCCCCTCTCTCTGCTTACTCATTCTGACCTTACTTGCCTCCCCAAAAGTTTTCTATATTGAGACAAAGCTCAATATTCCAAAGCATTGAAAGAGTAAAATAGTAGCTGTATTATTTTTTTAAAAGAACCTGTCATGGTCTAATATGAGCTTTGTGTTAAAGGAATGAGCATGTTCTGATCAGCAGCTTCTTTAAAGGGGTTATTCTTTAAAATGAAATAGCTCCTTATCTTTGAATACAAACTGTTCTAAAAAAAAAAAACCAAATAGCATGGCCTGTCACTTAGTGCTCATTGATCCTATACTCAAGTGTAGACAGACAGCATTAATGAACAGACACAGTACAGAAAATGTGTCTCAAACTAAAATTAGGTAGCTAAGGGAAAAGATAGGAGTTATCATTTCATCTGTATGTATTGTGCCATGAAAAAAATAAACCCCCTTATTTCAATGGCTGAACAAATCAGTTCCTGGGTTATCTTAATGATACAATAGGGAAATTTTGGCATTCCAGGAACAGCTTTGTCCTGTTACCAGCATCAGGAGCTCATGTAAAGACTTCAACAAATGTAGTCATCTATCATCTGTTTCGAACGATACTGTTATGACCTATTTCCCTTCCTGTTCCAAGACATCAGGAAATGAGGCAGGACACTTTTTAAAAGTTTCCCATAGCAGGCTTGTTTTTAAAAAGCATTTGCCCGCTCATCAGCGCGTACACTTCAGCAGCAGAATTTTGCCTCTATCTTTGTTCTTCCAGTTGTCATTACCGTTTTGATTTTGGCATAGATACTTTAAGGGTTCCTCTTAGGAGGACACGTTTCATCCTTGGTGTTTTTTATTTAAGAAATTCTGCATGAAAAATAAACAGTAATGCAAGTCTTTTAGCAAGTCAGATTCTGGATTCCCACAAAAGTCATGAAGTTTAACAGTAATACCATGGGGTACAGCTCTTGCTTCAAGAGATTGCTGAAATAGAAAGCCAGTTATGCCACAGTGAGTGCCTCTTGAAGTTTGTGGGAAAACCTAACGTGGTACACAGCTATATTTGTGTCCATAATTGAGATAATCTTGTAGTGTAGTTGCCAGTATGCCTCTACTCTCATATACTGTTTTCATCTATTGACAGAAGAGAAGCTCCAGTCGTATTTTATTCTCCACCAGTGAACACAAAAAATGCCCTTCAAAACAAAACACAGGTTTACAGTCTGTGTTCTGCCTGTGTAACTATATCCTTGATAACAGTTTGCTCACCAGCTAATCTGACTGGCACCTACTCAAGTCCTCCTTTCTGAAATGGCCCATGAACTTCAGATTATGTTCCACTAACAGGCCGTTAATGTGCCAAATTACATATTTTTTTTTTTCTTTTTGCCACTTCCTTGAGGAAAGTTTAGATCCTTACCATTTCTTGTGTTTGCTTTTATAGAAATATATAACCAATAGATTTTGGTTAAATGTTACTAAGAGTTTCTGCTGTTCTAGCAATAAAGAAGAGGACTTCAAAAATAGTATTGACTTACCTTTTGTTTATCAGGGATGCGTCAGCACCATGTTAGACTCCAAAACAAGTGAGCACAAGACTTCTCAGCTGGAAGAGGATGTTCTAATGTTGAAACCAGCTCTTTCAATAGTCATAGAATCATAGAATCCTTAGGGTTGGAAAGCACCTTAAGATCATCTAGTTCCAACCCCCCTGCCGTGGGCAGGGACAGCTTACGCTAAAGCGTATCACCCAAGGCCTCGTCCTACCTGGCCTTGAACACTGCCAGGGATGGAGCATTCACAACCTCCCTGGGCAACCCATTCCAGTGCCTCACCACCCTAACAGGAAAGAATTTCCTTCTTTTACCCATCCTAAACTTCCCCTGTTTAAGTTTTAACCCGTTACCCCTTGTCCTGTCGCTACAGTCCCTAATGAAGAGTCCCTCCCCAGCATCCCTATAGGCTCCCTTCAGATACTGGAAGGCTGCTATGAGGTCTCCATGCAGCCTTCCCTTCTCCAGGCTGAACAGCCCCAACTTCCTCAGCCCGTCTTCATATGGGAGGTGCTCCAGTGCCCTGATCATTCTCGTGGCCCTTCTCTGGACTTGTTCCAACAGTTCCATGTCCTTTTTATGTTGAGGACACCAGAACTGCACACAATACTCCAGGTGAGCTCTCATAAGAGCAGAGTAGAGGGGCAGGATCACCTCCTTCGACCTGCTGGTCACGCTCCTTTTGATGCAGCCCAGGACACGGTTGGCTTTCTGGGCTGTGAGCACACTCTGAAGCCGGCTCATGTTCATTTTCTCATCGACCAACACCCCCAAGTCCTTCTCCGCAGGGCTGCTCTGAATCTCTTCTCTGCCCAACCTGTAGCTGTGCCTGGGATTGCTCTGACCCAGGTGTAGGACCTTGCACTTGGCATGGTTAAACCTCATGAGGTTGGCATCAGCCCACCTCACAAGCGTGTCGAGGTCCCTCTGGATGGCATTCCTTCCCTCCAGCGTATCAACCGAACCACACAGCTTGGTGTCATCGGCAAACTTGCTGAGGGCACACTCAATCCCACTGTCCATGTCAAGAGGACTGTGTTGTCCAACAACTTTCAGTAGTCAGCAGCCTGTGTTGTCCAAGTAATTAGAGGATAAAATCTTTTACCTAAGCTATGTTTGGGCTAGAAGGGTCAGCTTCCTTTTGTGCCCACCTGAAAACAAGTACTTTTTAAAGAGATTAGAAAATACAGTTCCTACTTCCCAAAACCTCGTATATTTGAGTTGGTGACCCTTACTAGCTGTTCTCCATTTGGAAGCTGTCTTTGTGTCCATATGTCATGTCCCAGGATGAGAAGAAAAGGTCAAGTTGACCAAGTCTGTCTTGCCTTCTCCCAAATACAAATACGGAAGTGAGACCATGGGAAGAACACTTGATACTGTTGCCTCTTTCTGGGTGAAGGGAGAGATTCCTTGGATTAGTTTGAGCGTAGTTTCTTTCTTGGACATTTTGCTGTTGCCTAACTGAAAATGTTTTTTCTGAGGCAGTTGTCTCCAGTGAAGTTAACTTCAAGGAGTGAGCTCCTGCCCTGCTACCAAGATCTATCTAAGCCTCTTGTTGCTGCAGTGAAAATAGACTAATATACCCATTAGTAGATTTTAAAGCTGAAAAAAGTTACAGTAAATACAGGTTCTTTCTTATTATCATCTCTTATTAACCATAGCATGGGTTTTACCATTCCAGTCTCCTAAAAACCATGAATACTGGTATACTAACATCATTTCAGCAACTAAAATGCAAGATCCTGGTTTTATTTTTAGTTTTTTTTTTCTTTTACCCTGGTTTCTTGAATACTTTGAACCTTTGGTTTAAAATGTTTGAGTGCTACATTTACTGCTTCAGACCTTTGTTCTACCCTTTAAAAGCCATTACCCTTACAGTGATTTTTTTTGTTTGTTTTTTTCCCCAGGGTGACCAGATGCAGGTCATGCCTATACCAAGTGTATGTATTTTTATCCCTTTTTCTTTTTAATAATTTTCATAACTTTTGCTTTGATTCATCTTATGTTGCAGTCTTAACAGGTCTGTTTTGTGTTGCATGTTAATAAAATGATTTTATGTTCTGTCTGTAATGTAGACTTGGAGATGAATTGAACTGCATGTGTTGTACCGGGACTAAAAGAAGAGTTTGGGTTTTATATGAGTTTTGTATTGGATCTCAGTTAAATTCATTTCTGGGGGTTTTGTCATTTTGAAAATGCCTCAAGTAGCATGAAAGTTGTAGTTGCTTATTTTAATAGAGACAAAAGGTGACTTATCAGCACTATATGAGAGACAGTTACAAAAACCTTTTCCTCTAATTTTTTCCTGTATTTGAGTTGAAGAGTTAGAAACTGCATGATTTGTTTGAAACAAGACACTTTAGGAAAACAAAGGCTACACTGACCATAGCTGTATTACTGCACTCTTTGAAGATGATGTTCTCAGTATCTGCTGCTTTATGGGCTTTATTATTTCTCCTTATCTTCCTTGGATTAAACTTGGAATGCTGTTTGGCATCTGAATTATTTTTCAAAACTAAATAAAAGGAAAGAAAAAAGTTCTTCAAGCTGAGGCTTTGAATTTAATTAAGTGTAACCTTTTTTGGGCAAAAAGCTGCTCTTTTTTTACTTGTGTTTTTTGTTGGTTTTTTTTTAAATTTTTTTTGATCTCCTTTGCTGTTTATAATACTTCATTATTGCAGAATTTTCCAGGAAATAGCAGCACTAATGTGTGGAGTTACTGTCACAGCCCACTTTCCTGAGGTATTAGTTAGCTCTAAAGATGCGGCTATTCCCTAAGACACCTTTTTTTTTTTTTTTCCTTTCTCCTTCCTTCTCCTGTAACATTACAAGGCCTCCCATAAGAGCCCTGTCCATGCTGCAGTGCAGCAGTAGTGTCAGGAGCTCACTAAAACTGTGGATCACATACCTCCTTCACTGCTTTTCCTTGGATTTAAGGACTGTTATTAATTATTTGCTTACATATTATTTCTAATATGAAATTACTTCTAGTACATCTCATGCATATGTTTGCATGCATATGTGTATGCATATGCACACATGTACATGCATATAATTTGTATGTATGCAAGTTTGGGAATAGGAAACTTTGGATGTATGAAAATACTGATTTCTAAATTTCTCCTTTCACGTCAGATACTGTTTAGTGACTGTAGTTGCTCTAGTAGTAGTTCTTCAAATATAAAACATGTTCCAGCTGTGTTCTGACCTGGAATAAAATTTTAACTAAGTGTAGATATTAAAGAAGTAAGAATTGAAACAGAACAAAATTTTGAAATGAGAAATGAGCACAGCTTTGTCAGGTGCAAACATGAAATGAGACAATTTTTCAGAACACTGTCTTTGCGCTGTTAAAGCAGTGCTCTGTTAGATTCCCTTAGTGGTAGGAAAATGAACAATACAAGAGGTTTCTTCTATTCTGTTTTTTTAGTGCAACTGTTACTTTGCTGACCTGTATTCCCAGCACCCTAATAAGGCAGTCATGCCTAGAGCTCTCGGTGAGCAGGTGACTTTAAATGCACTCGTCCCTCTTCTCCAGTGCTATCTGATGCCTTCTTCCAGCAGGACATGAAAGTGTTGTCAAGCAACCATCACCTGCAGGCAGTTGTGTGACATTTACTGTCCGAGTATCAGAGTGCTTCTGGCTGTCAAACAGAAGCCAGCGAGCATTAGTATGTAATAGTCTAAATAAAGACAGAAGTGAGCTGCATATGGAGGAAGCGTAGGAACAAAGATGTAACATTGTATTAGAAAAATGCCTAAAACTAAAGCAGTCCTCTTTGCCAGTCTCACAAGAGCTATTTGTCCTGAGTCCTGCAGCCCAGAGGTTCACTCTGAGACAACTCTTAGCCGTGTGTTTAAGACCCATTAAGGCATAAATTCTTGATGCTCTGCCACACAGGGTCATGGATGAGAAATAGGCTATTTGAACTGTATGTATTGTACATACTAGGAGAAATATCTCCTAAAGGCTTGGTCACAATTAAGTTAGATGTTTACTTTTCATAGAGCTCATTGCAAGTATGATCTCTTCAAATGTTTAGATAATTCCTTAGCAACTCTGAAAAGAGCATTGCCCACTCCCCGCTCATTAAACTTTCAAGTTGAAGCTTCCAGTCAAAATACAAGGTTTTCATGCATGTGTAAAATCTGTCAGCCTGCTGGGGTCACATGTTTGAAAACTTCCATTGCTTTATGTACATATGTGTGAATTAGTGAAGTATATCTGCTGCTCAGTCAGATTTTTTTCTGTATGAGTTACATTTAATTTAAAAACTTGAATTAATATGAATTTTCAATTGGTTATTGATAGAGATAACTGCTAAACCAGAATCATTCCAGCTTCTGCTTAGGTTCTTCAGAAAACAAACTGTCTGACTCTTGGGTTTTGCTTTTTTTCCTAAAGATGAACTTTGTCCTTTTTGTATCTTGTATTCTGAAACTGTTTTCAGATAAGGCATAGATTAAACAGCAGCATAATTGATTTATTCCCTGATAGTGCAAAATGATTAATTTTTAAGGTTAAAATAAACACAAAATCTGGGGGAAAAAAAAAAAAAAACAAAACGAAACAATACCAGCTGACACAGTATGATAGACTTGACTTAAAAATATATGAAGTGTAGTTCAGAATGCTTGTGCCTTCGTGGACTATGGTAGAAAAATAAAAGCAGGCCCATAGCAACTTCAACACTTGTTTTCATTCTTTTGAATGAAAAGGTAGATGGAAATACGAAGCCGTACTCATGGACCTTCTTCAATGAGTTGAAGTGTCCATTTTCTTTGTTCAAACTGGTATTGAGGAGTGTACCAGTATTGCTCCTCAAAGTTTACGCAGAAGTTAAGTCTCAGCCCTGGGATATTGTTTTTTTTTGTTTGTCCTCACCTACACTTAGACAATTTCATGTTACAGCTTTTTCTAGAAGAAATTTTGTGAACTGACCATTTTGTAACAGGAACTAGCATCTTTTGGCAGCTGTTTAAGTGGGAATAATTTATCTTCTATTAGAGTATTTCTGTGCATAACTGTTGGGAGAAGCTGTCAGCTATGTAGAGTGCAACTGAAAGTGTGAATTGAAGGGAACATGAACAGCAAATTAATGTGCTGCACTTAGGCTAGACAACATTTCCAGTATACAAAGAAAGGGCTTATTAATTCTGACACTTGCCTCTGTAGGAAACACGGCCCTACAGGGAAGAAAGGTTATGATTGTTTTATACAGTAAATTTCTGAAAGGTTTGTGTTGACCAGCTGTTTATGCTTCAACCAAAATTCCTGTTTCTTGCCACCACCACCCCCTTTTTTTTTTTTTTTCCTTAGGGAATATACTATTTCCACGAGACTGAAGCAGTGCAGCAGTCGTTTCACTACAAGGTCTGTTAAGCTGATCAGCCATGAGACCTGGCTGGAATGCCTAAGTCCCAAACAGTGACTAGTTTTAAAAGCTTTAACTTGTATACAATTTATGTCTTGTTGGAATTGAAGACCAAGCTAGGACTTAACAGTACTGAGATAGCACATGTTACTTCTCTGCTGAGTTTTGTGGAAGTCTGCAGTCTTTGGGAGAGTATTGCATATTAAGTATGAGTGTCTGTTAGCCACAATTAAATACTTCTTTTAATCATCCTAGATACCTTTAAAGCTACTATGTTTAAAAAAGGAAGTTATCAAAGATCCATAACTATTCACTATTAACTGTGATGGAAAGCTGGTAATTGGAACTCTTCTTGGATATGTCTCCATTAGTGAGGAAATTAAAATACAAAATTGAGTAATGCTTGTTTCTCTCTGAAAGCTTTGATACTCAGCACGTGGAAATTGCTTTAGATCAGAAAGCTTGAACAGCAGAACAAATTAACTGATACTGTAGGTACAAATTGTTTTAAGTTCCTAAAGCCTCAAAATTGTCATCCTTGCTCCAAAGTCCTGCACTTTATGTTTCGCAGCCTCTTATATTGCCTTCAGCATCAATACAGTTTCCTTATCCCTTTTAGATTATCAGGGTGGCAGATGTGTTTTCAGAGTTGGGGGTAACAGAGATACAGGTTTTAAAATAGAATATTTATTTTTCCTTATCTTCAAATGTGCCAACTGTTGACCATGTGTCTTTGAAAACAGGATCAGATTGAATTCAAGAAGCCAAAGCTTTAAAAAGAAGTGGGAGACTTTCTCCAGGAGGAACCTTGAGGTGTAGTCTTTAGATGAAGTTAGGTCAGTAGTTACATATTTGTTCCAAAAGCAGTACGGGAAAGGGAGAGAAACTCCAGCAGTAACCAGTGTTTCTGTATAGATGCTGTGGGTAAGCTTTTTTCTCTCCCAGATGCTGCTTTTGAGAAAACAGAGGTGTAGGTGGATGAACTTGATGAGCATGGGCTGTTTCTCACCATGCGTTCATGGAATTCAGGTTCCCAGAGTTGAAGGTTCTCACATTTTGTAGTCCTTAGTGTATGTCCAGCCTTTTATTGATAACAGGCATACTAGTTTCCAGATAAATAACAGATATCTGTGATAGAACAGTGCTCATATTTTTCATATGTGTGTTTTTATATAGAAGAATATGTTTTTCTATATATTTTCCATACCTACAGATATTTTCACTTTGATAAAAGAATTCACATAGCAGAAGAAATTGCTGGCTTTGAGCTGTTTGTGCATGTTAATTTAGTCAACAATTCAAACTAGATACTAACAGTTTTAAGAGTACAAAAATTAACTGAACTATTATTTTTCTTTTAAAAGTACTCTTAAGGTTTCTTGGGATGTACCTACTTTTTTGTCATCTTTATAGACAAGAAGTTAGTATCGGAACACGAGTTCTGAAGATTACTGTGTTTAAATGGGTTTGATACTTTCTTTCAATAAGCTTTTGATCTATTTAGGTTGCAAGTATGGATCCTTCTTATTATAAAAAATTGATGTGGGATACCTAAATACCTTTGAAATACTTTTAAAATAGGAGTGAGAAACCAAAATTCTTTAGATCTGGTCCTGGATTCAAAAAGCAGAGGTAGAGCTCAAGCAGTTACTGAAGTAACGTGTACATGGGACTGTCTATAACTTAAAAAGACTGTCCTATAAATTCCAGCCTGGGGAAGTTACTGTGATGGATGGATACTTCATAGGCATTAAGCAGAAGTTTTATTTTTTGTTGAAGGTCACTGTCAGATGTGTGCTGAGAAAAAATCCATTGACACAAGCAGCTTTTAAGCAAAGCAGTTTCCATTTTGTTACTCGAAGAAACTGTTGTTGATGTTAATTGTAAAAAATCTAAATCAAGTGAGCATTTCTAAAAAATCTCACAATAACTTATGCTTTAGCTAAAGACGCTTCTATTTAAGTCCAGAGTCTCATTTATTAGTTCATTCAGACAGGATCTTACCAGGCATCATTGGCCAGTATCTGTCAATTTAAGAAATCAGTCCGTGGTTAATAATCTGTCTCTGGCACTCTTGGGTGTTCAGATGGTATCTAACTCATCTGTTTGTCACCCGCTGTCCTTGAAGGGGTGGCCTCAGGTCTCTGCAAGCACCTCTGCAAAAGGCTGCTGGAAAGAGCAAAAATGTGATAGACTCTTCCTTACCAGAGAAACATTGTCTGAACAGATTATAAGCTAGAAAAAGAATGAAGTTAGAGTTCTGTATCCAATTCTTAATTAATTTAATTTGCTCTCAGTCTTGAGCTTCTCCCTACTGATAACTTTTCTATGAAGCTAGTCATTTTCCTTTATCAAAACCCCCTTCTTTAAAGGAGTGGCCAGCAGCGTTTCCACTGCAAAGGGAAACATTCTCTCCTATTTCTGTTATTTTGGGAAATACCCAGTACCAAAGTCTAAAGTAATATAACTGTATTACAAATGGAGATGTTAAAATGTGGAATGAGCAATCAGAAGAGTATGTGACTTTCTGTGTTGCTTTACAGAAAAATTGTCAATTCATGTAATTGGTACCAATTTATAGTAAGGGCAGCAAACAGTAGAAGAGCCTCGTTTGAGTTCTTTACTGCACTTTTAATACCTTGATTGGAACATAATCCATATAAAAGCTGTTGGTCAGCACCTGCACAAGTGGTAAAAATGAGAGTGGAGACATGTCCTGGAAGATAAAATTGATAATGGCATCTTCCTTCAGGATTGGTTTCTCCACTTTAGCATCTTTCATGGCAGACAGAAACAACAATTTGTGTAAATGTTCGTCAGTGTGGTATGACTGGAAGTATCATTGACTGTGAATGGGTTGACAGCAGCAACCAAAAGTGAGGCAGTTAGGGAGAGGGACACTGGAAAAAGATACTGTACCAAATGTCTTGTTTTTCTTTGGGGTTTTTTTTTAGCTGGTGGTGGTGGTTTAACCATGTTAATTTCCAGTGCTTTGGAAATCATACTAAACAAGTTTCATTTTAAAAAAAAGAAAGAAAAGTCTGAGTATTGCATGAGCCATTGATTTCCATACATGTACTTGCCATGAGCCAAGAAATACATTTAACTTAGAGTCATGTATTTCAGTTTCCAGTAAATACTAGAACAGTAATGTTGGCAGAGTGCCCCTTCAGTAGATGTTTTACTGGTTTTTGTTGTCTTTCTCTTTTCTTTTTGTTTTTAGCCACCAGCTAAATACCTCCTGCCAGAACTGACAGCATCAGACTATGGGAAGAAGTGTGTGGTCATTGATTTAGATGAAACTTTAGTGCACAGTTCATTTAAGGTAAGAAAATTCAAAAGCGATCCCTTGCAACTTGAATCTGTCAGTGAATGTTGTAGGAACTGTTAAGCCTCTTAACACATTAACCGGTCTTACAGGCTCTCCTAGGATGCCTGGTAGTTCTCATTGTTATTTCTATGAATATTCATCCTAATTTAGCTGTAAGGGAATAACACAGACATTACTATATACTTGATTCTGAGAAAGTCACAGATTGCAGTAAGGCCTGGGATAGTTACACTCTATAGCTTTAAATGGTAACTGTTCCCCAAGAACCTGTATTGTAACAGGTACAAAACTTCCTGCTCTGAAAACACATTTTACTTTTGATGTTTAAATGTCATAGTCTAGGAGAGCAAAAACTCAGCACAGTTTCATGCTGGGTAGATACACCTCAACCTAGTAGATTTTGACACCAGTGATTGCTGTGCACTGTTGCTGGAGAAGATTGCTTTCCCTTTCAGGCTGCTGTCCCTATGGCAGTAAGTGTTTTTTACATATTTAGCTTTCACAACAGGAAAGCAATTAGCATTTAACTGTTGCTGATGAGTCAGTCATCTTCTAGAAGCAACTTATATAATCTTTCAGATTTCAGCATGTGGTGGAAGTAGTGGTATTTTTCTATTGTTTAATTAAGGCTAAAATTAGAATAGGAGAATTCAGAAATACAAGTAACTTAAATTGGCTCAGAGTACTGATGGCATTTCTGATTAGCAAATGTCAAACATGATAAAGCATCTGCTAGTTTCATACTTTGAATTGAGAATTTATAAGAATCAGTAGTATATTTCGTTACTAGTAGCAAGCTCGAGTTACCACCACCTTCATTGTCTTCTAGTTTTGGTTGCACTCCATTTTTCACTGCTAGCATAAACTCAGCATTTTAATCCTGCAATATTTAATTGCCAGCATTTAAATATGCAAACCATAATTCATGTTGTGGTTAGAATTTGGCTACAGCTTGTCTTTGTTGACTTAAAGAAGACCTTATATGGAGATACTAGAACAAATATTTCTGTGCCTCAAACTGAAAGTAAGATTCTTCTCTATCTTTATTGTGACTGATTGTATAGAACAGTTTGTGGTGGTATACATCAACCTCTTAACCTCACTTCCAGATCCTTGTCTTCTATACCAAGACTGAACTTGGACTAAAGAGTTTTTAGGGATACTAGAAACACAGCTGGTTTGGGAAGGGGAGGGACTGTGCTTTCCTAATAAAATAAGAGACAAAAAGTAGGGATGGAAAGCTGAATTTAAAAGTCCACATTTATGTGAAAATAATGAAGTATTAGTCATGGTGTTAGCTGAAGTATAAAAGTAAAAGTTGCTTTCTGAATTTTGTGGGTAACTTTGTACTGTAATTTTTCTAGATTTTGAAACAAAATGAGATTCAATTTAGGTGGCTTTTAATTTCTCTTTTTTAACCATTTTAAAGAAGTACATGTTGAATGGTTGACATAGTGTAAATCCTTTCTTGCAGGATTGAGGTTTGCCTTTATTGCAAAGTGCTTTTGTAACGGGCTCATTTTAATCATCCCATTTATTCAAATGATATTTAATGGGTATTTAAATGATGTTAAATCGATATTTAAGAAAAATCAGAAGATTGTTCTACTTAGTCTTGAACACTGAGTAATTTTTTTTGTTAGGGAAAAAAATGGTCCTTTTTTGTGTGAGTTAAACAGCATTAGGCAAATGTTGGAGTTTGTGCAGTATTAGAGTCTTAATGGCTACGATGGCGTTATCTTAATGTGTGAAGTCCAGTAATGAGAGTATGTAAGAGAAAACCAAGTGTCAGAGGAAATAGCTTTAGTTGTTAGTGGCTGGCACTGTTGGTAATGCTGTTTGGATTTTGTTTCATAAAGGGAAATACTTCAGCTGAAGTAAGTCCTTTGTGGTCGTCAAAAAATGACAATGGATTTCTAGAAGAGAAGTGGTTTTAATACCTGTATGCTCACTGCTCTGCCTTGAGTAATCAATTTATTTTTGCAGTTTCTTTCAGGTTTTAATGGGTTGGGGTTTGGTTTGGGTTTTTTGCCCTCCACAAGAATATGCCTGCTCTCCCAGGCAGGTCCCTACTTAAAAGCTGTAAAAGCGTACATATATTTGTGATTTTTAGTACAAAAGGCTTTATTTAAAACACCTAATATTTTAAAATTCATAATTCTGTTATGAAATGAGCTTCATATTTCAAATGCAGAATTATTTTTTTCTTTGACGCAACCAGAGACTCAGAATATTTAAAGTGCTCTTTTATGAAAGCAGTAACATCTGAAGGAGGGTAATTCTTGTCTTTTTATGCCCCTGCATATTTGTGAAGCTTTAAGGAGGTACTGGTCTTTCATGTTAAGTGCATATTAAAGGAATAAAGTTTGGGGTGCTTTGGCAAGAGTAAAAAAGGAGTAGATAGTATAGTTATCATTCCCATCATAAAACAATAATAGAGGCAAAATTCATAATTTATTGAATCAAGGAGATGTAAACATGGTTTTGTATAAAATGAATCAAACCACATGCAAGTCTGGAATGTAGTCATATTCAAAACTGGCTGTGAAACACTTCGAGAACATTTAAAACTCTGAAGCTTTTTATTAAATAGAAACTGTTCTAACTGAAGTGAAGATTTTCAACGGGAAGTACATTGTCTTCTTTCACTCTTATCTGTGTGGGTCCCACTGTAGGCATGTACATGCTTCACGTGTGCAACCCCAGAAACCTTTATCCAGCAAATTGCTGCAGAGTTTTCTCCTGTCTTCCCATCATGATGAAGTCCAGAACTCCAGTCCATGCTCTCTTCCGTATGGCTTGTGCCAACAAGAAAGCTGCGTAGTACCTAAAGTACAAGCGGGGAAAGCAAATAGGTAGTTGAGAGAGGAGTTTGGTTAGTGTTAGAGTCTAAGGGAGAGTTTTATTTGTTAGCACAAAAGAAGTTGTCTAAACAGAATGTGGTTTTCTCCAACACCTGGTTGGTGTTGCTCCTGTTAACTTTCAACAAGTAGAAAGTTCATTAATAGCTGTAGTTTTATCAGTGGGCTTCAAAACCTTAGCAACTTGCAGTGACCTATTCTTTTTCTGTTGCTACAGAATGTTTATCTTGCTCGAGGGAGTCATGCATACATAAATTCTTCAAGTGTGTGCAAGTCTCTTCAAAGTATGCGCAGAACTGGCACCCACTTGAAAACTGGTGCCTGCCTCTGACAGTTCATTTGGGTTTCTTTCAAGATTCAAAACATTTCTGTGTACCTTTTCTGTGACTCTCAGAGATGATGCAGAGTATCTTCTGTCTGAGGAGCTTCATGTAGGTAACAGAAGGGAGCCTCCCCCTGTCCTTTTTAGAAGCAGAAAGGAGGATATGTCTTGGAAGTAGCTTGATGTCAGCTAAATAAAAAAAATCTAGATTGTATCTGCGTGTGTTTGGGGAATTCTTTAGATCATACTAGTGCAGTGGTCATTGACAGAATGGTGTTTTCCAGCCTCAGCTGCTCTGGCAGTATGATTGCCAATACTGGTTGGTCAGGACAAGTAGATTCAGTGTACCTTCTCATTTGCCCTCTGACACAGCACTTGCAGATGTCAGGTAAAGCATCTTCCTTCTTACCTTGCTACTGAGAGAGGGTGTTGCCTTCATAGGAATCCTTATGGTCATTTTGTTTCTCTGCATTCTAAAGTAATTTTACTTGACCAATAGTTTTTCACAGCAAGTCTTAAGAAATAAGTTGTACTGAACAGAGTAGAAAAGTGGATTCAAGGACTTTGACAGACTGGACCTGCTCTTCCATTTTGAATTAAAAATGCAGTTTTACATGATTATTTTGATTAATAGAGCATGTTCTTGAGGGATTATGTCTTGAGAATCAGTTAACTATGCAACTTAAGGCTTGTTATAGTTCCTGATTCAAATATAACCATTAGGTATTACTTTTATCACTGTCTTTACTTTGAATTAATTACTCATCGAAGTCCCAAAGTAAAATAAATGAAACACATAGCTGAATTTCTTTGCAATCATCCACGCAGACCTGAGGAAAGAGTTAACACAAATAGATGTTTTTCCCGGTAAACACACTTGCTGGTAGAGTGGAAGCTATTCAAGCAGTAAAGTATATTACACTGTATGATGCCTCAAAATATGAGAGAAGAGGGAGGTTCAGTACTTGGTGAATACAGCTGTGTAAGGCTTCTGACTTGTGTGTGTAAAGGGTACACACACGGAGTGTATCTGTGTAATCGGTAATGCTTATTAACTTGTTCCTGAGAAGTAAGTACTCTTCTCTTTTACCCTCTCAAGGTTTTCCCTCTGATTATCTTGGTTTTAATGTTGATTTATTTTGTTGTCATTCTTTCTAGCCAATTAGCAATGCTGATTTCATCGTTCCTGTTGAAATTGATGGAACCATACATCAGGTAAGTGCCATTGTTCCTTTATCATTGTTCTAGTAGTGGTATTGTCCTCAGTGTCACGGAGGATTATCTTTCTCTGTTTGCTGCTTTACATTCAATAGCTTGCCCTTTTCCAAAATACAAAAGCTGTGTACCCTGGAATGCCTGTCATCCAGACAGGCATCGCTGTTTGATCAGGTGTGTAGTTCTAACTACTAAACCTCAGTTTTAACTTTTTCAGATTTCCAGAATATCTCTTTCAGGACTTTAATATTTGACTCTTCTTCAGTTTTAAAACATTTTCAAACAGGAAATGATCGAAGGATGGGTTTTCAAACATTGGTGGGCCTAGGAAAAAACTACAAATACTGCATTTCTCATTCCCCTTACAGAGAAATGGGACATAAATCGGCTTTAGTGCCAGTCATATGATTCATGTAATTCATGTGGACAAAGCATTATAAAAGTATTAAGGAAGAACGTACATTTTGTAGGATTTTGTGTCAGTCTTTAAATTCCATCCCTTTTCTTCCTGTAAATAATTTTAAGTTCCTCTGATAGGACTTTTGATACACTTCAGCATCTTTAAAAACTCTGCACAATATTGTGAAGAGAATAATTTTTGTCGTACTCTTTAAGAACTCCAGTTGAGACTTTGTGAAATGGTTTTCAGTAAATGCAAAACACCCGTAATTTGAAAATCAGTCGCCTTTGTGTATCATGGCTTGGTGTCTTTAATCAGTGTCATTTCTGAAAACTTTGAATGGTTTAAATTACAGTGCCATGCATTTTACTCTTCAGACAGACATTAAAGTTCTTGCTGGAGACTGGTTATACAGGTTAACGTGAAGCTGAGCCTTTCTGGTATATGAATCTTGCGAACTGTTTGAAACATCTTCTGTTGGTTGTTGTAGGTTACAGATAATGCGGTTACTAAGTTGCAAATCTGCATGTGATTTAATGGAGATTTTAAATATTTTTTTAAAATGCTGGTTTTATAGGAATTACTTGGACAAATAAGTTCATATTTTGCTCTTGGAACAATTGATATATCATAAAGATAATTCATAGTTTTGTTTGATTTCCTGTTAAGAAGACTGCCCATGTGTCACTCTTAAAATAATTACTAAATACCAGTCAGTGGACTGAAACATGTTTTAAAATGATAGCTGCTTTGACAGTTTTTACGCTGTGCCTCGTTTATGTAGAAAAAAATTGGTGTCTCGTGTACTTAAACCTGTAATGTTCACCAGGGCTGAATGCTTAAAACACATAAGTGATGTTTTGGGAGGTTTGTATTGTGATACTGTCGGTCCTCATTTGATGTGGGCTTTAGTTGTGATTGGTGCTGTAGTGCAGACATTTTCTCTCTTAAAACTGTCTAGAATGCTTTTGAAAGGGAATTAAATAGTTTGCCTAACAATTTTGAACGGCTTAGGGTTGTGATCATTCAGCTTGTCAAGATTATGTATTTGCATCTTGAAACAAAACCCAATAAAAAGACTATTCGGGCTTTACAGTCAAGTGCTTTAAAAGCCTGTTGCTTTTCCCTTCCCTACTGCAAACTTTTAGATTCTTCACCAAACATAATGCAGTTAGGCTCTCAAGATGCCGGCGGGGGTGGGGGGGGGGAGAATTAAAAATGGCCAAGGGGAGTGGATTTGTGCATACTCTAAATGTGAAGAGGAGGCAGGATGCTCTTGATGGAGAAGGTCAAGTGAAGTTAGTCTCTGACTGTGCTGTGCTGGAGACTTCCTATGTAATTTTCAAAGAAATTGCTGAATCACTTTGTCTTTCAAGTTTTAAATCGCCAAAATACGTGAATATCTTGGTTGCATCTGGGTGGTAGAAATGAAGTTAATTGTAAGGAATTTGTGATCTTTCAAATAAAGATAATTTATACGGTATGCAGAATAGGTGAAGTTTTGGATTCCTGTGTTTGTAATACCTCTGCAGGCTAAGTAATGTAGTGTCATCCAGCAGCCTTTTAGGGCTTTTTTAACTGTTGCAATCCAGAGGGCGAAAGTGGATGTTCTGGCTTAGGCTGACACACAGGACAGAGAGCTTTGACAGCTGAATCCCAATTGAAACCTGTAATTTCTTATTCACTTAGGGCATAAAAAACCCAATACTAACAATCTTTATCTGTCAGAATGTCATATGTATAATGCTTGTCCGTTTTCTTAAGCAGTTTATATACTCAAAAGGTTATTCACTGGCATTGGGAAATACTTCCACCTGTTTACAGTATCACAGGGTATGTGAAGTGTTGTGGGAGTGTGCTATTCATAGTGCGTATCCCTACCTGCTTTACCAGTAAGCCTGGTATCTTACCAAGCAGGAGATTGCTTGACAGACTATTGTGGTTATTTGAACTCTGCCTCAGACAGAACCCCATGGAAAACAAATGTAGAACACCATTTCAGAAGTGCCCATTGAGAAAGAAATCTGAAATTAGATGAGATTCTTCAGATATTCTATACCAAAAATAGAAGTCATAGCAAAATCAGTTGCTGTATGCTTGAAAGAGTTCTGAGAAGACTGATTTATATAATGACTTTAGTTATGGTAAATATTGTCATTTTTTGTTGTATAGCAGAGGCATTCAAAGGGCTATCTTTAGTCTGGGGAGCTTATTTTCCCTTATATCATTTGTAATCCATAGGTCAGAGAGACTCTTGTTCTTCTGTAAGGGGGACAATTGAAATCATTGTCTTAAAGGGTGCTTGGATAAACCAGCTTCCCTACATTAAAAAATACTTTTGAGAACACCCCTTGTGTCTCTCCCATCTTTCTTTCTCTAGCTTAATTTACCTTGTCTTTAGAAATTATTTGTCATTTTATTTTACAAGGAAATAACTCGTGTGGTGGCACCTCTCGTCTGTTATGGGGCTTCAGATGCCTGCAGAGACTGTGCCTGTCTACCTGCCTGGAGGGCAGCTAAAGTTACAGGAGATGAATCCCACGCTTTGTGTTGGAAATGATGGCACAGATACAAAAGGGCATTTCTAATGCAAGCTGACACTCCTCTGGCCAGTTCTGTCATTTCTCTTTGGGTTCTCTGAATAAAAGGAAATCAGAGCTGGTCCCCTGCTCAACCAAACTGTAAGTGAGAAACTGTGGGAAGTCCAGTGAAATGTGTTGCAACTGAGAGTGCTCTTTAGAGGAAAGGGTGAAAGCAGTGGCTGGAGGGTGAGGGGTGGCTGAGGGTGAAAGCAGTGGCTGGAGAAAGATATTTAACCTGTTTGGCACCCTTGACATAACTTCTGTGAGAACACAGCCTCTCTTTTGCAGCATGCTTCCCATTTAACAAGTGCAGAGTAATCACGACCCCAGATTAGAAACCATGTGTTAAATATAGCATTAATCTGTAAGGAGTAGAGATTTGTGGAGTGTGGTTGTCCTTTGTCTTTTGTCCAAATTCACTTGCAATGTCTTTGTCTCTTGCTGTTGATGACAAAGAGTGAAGAGGGCAGCCTGGAAGAGTTTGATTTGGTGTTATGTGGAATTTCATTCTTGACTCTAATTTGTTTACTGAGTAAAACTAAGTTTTATGGTTTTGGTGCTTGCTTTTTTTTTTTTTAATGGGTTTTTTGTTGGGTTTTTTTTTTAATTAACAATTTCCTATTTTCAGTTGTTGAAAGTTAAATGTTTGGCATGTATACTTTGGATGTAATGTACAAAATGTTTTTTACTGGTGGGGGAAAACACTGTTCAAATAATGAACTTCCTTTCTATAAAGGACAGAATTTGTTGATTTTCTTACAGAAGGCTGTGGCCTGGTTCAAGTAATCCAGGATAGGCTGTATCCATTCTAGCTGGCCTATTCTTGGTTACTTGCACTGGGAGGCAACCAAAACTGTGGGAACCAGAAAGACAAGGCTCAAGGACGTGTTAATTTCAGCTCACTGTTAAGAAGATCACCCAGCCCACAAAACGGGAGAGTCCAGGAGCTTGTGTTGTCATTGGCAGATTTCTTTGTCGTTACTGAAGATTTTGTTATCGTAAAGCTGGTTTCAAAAGGCAATTCCTTGTGTCCTAATTAATTGATTAAAATCAAGCTGGGTTTCTCTTTTTGTTTTACAAATACAGTCTCTTTAGGTTAAGACTGCTTTGAGGTATAGAAAACGTATGTGGAAATACCAAATGCTTGAAAACAATTAAAGTAATTACTTGTGCTCTGCCATTAGCATCTCTAAGTACAGAATCCTGTGAAAACATGCCTAGTGCCTGATTGGTGCCTGCACTTTAAGAGCAGGGTTTATTTTAAATCTATTTTTAAAAAAGATTGTATTCCTCTAAACTTTTACTGTGATAAGGAAGACATTAGTGAGCGTACAATACAGGAAAAACTGGAGTTGGGTTTTTTTTTAATACCCTGAAGACAGTATATAAATCTCAGAAAAATGCCAGGAGCCAGTTAGTCTAGAGACTTAAACTGAAGACATCAGGCAACGGAGGAAAAAGCCAAGCCACAAATAACCATGCAGCATTGAGATTCAAGTCCAGCCACTGACAAAGTAAAGGGGAAAAAATTCCAAGTGAGGAGGAAGAGGAGAAAAGAGCTGCACTGTCAGCTGAAGAAAGCTTTCTATGTGAAGTAAGCCAAAGAGATTTTGTAGCCCAGGATACCAGTACACTTGCAGTTGCTTCCAGGGTCTAAGTAGGACTTCTCAAAAAAACTTCAAGGAAAATAAAGGAGAATAACCAGAGTATTAAGATCTGTTGTTCTGGAAAAAAGCCTGCAAATATTTGCATTTATAAGCCTATATAAGCCTGCTCCTGTCTGCAAGCCTGTGGTTAAGGAGCTCTTGGTTTGTTGCTACTGGGTTGATATACTATATGCTCTCCTTATGGGGGAGGTGAGTTATGTTGCAAGCAGCAAAGTTCATATCCTTGGTTTGGAGTTTGTAATTACATTCCAAGTGGAAATATTTTACTGACAGAGGCATAGATAGGGATAGAGAGCAAAGAGGAGGCTTCTTTTGCTGTGGCTGTAAACACTAAGGTTTTAGAAGGGAAATTAATATTAAACTCCAGCACTTACTGTCCAAGACTGACTTTTAAGACTCCGTGTGTCCCTTTTGTTCCCTAAAAAATAAGTATAAGGATATCATTTAAGGCTGAAGACTTAAGTACTTCATTAGCAGCTGTTGGGTTATGTAGCAGCTTGCATCCTGCTATCTTTCCTCTTATAACTGGCAGATGGGATAGTCTCTTTCCTAAATACCCAAATGCAGAGGGACTGCAATTGTCTTTCTACCCGTGTCTTTAAATTGAAGATGTAATTTGGAAAGGAAATGCTAGAGAATAACTTTATGTAGTAAGATTTAAGTGAAAAATTAATTGCATTGTTGTAGGAGAGGAAATTACTTGTTTTATGCCTAGTGAAATACAGGAAAGTGCTGTAATTGAAAAGAGAGTGGAGTTGGAGTACATTTGTTAACTGTCTTTAATTGATAACATGTCACAATTATTTGATTGGTTAGGTGCTATGGTTGTTTAAAAAATACAAAATAAATCTTGGGTTATAAATTATCTGTATCAAAGTCTGAATGTATTGTTTGAATTTGAGGGGCCAGAAATACTTCGCAGAAATAAACTTGAAGCAGATAAAGTCTTCATGCTGTGAGCTGTATGCTACATAAAGTGGAAAAGTAATTAACATTTCTGCTTCCGTCATGAAGGTACAGCTCTATCATACATGCTTTTAATAAAACTTTGCTTTCAGAATGAGGTTTTCAGTTTCAATTTTGCAACTTTCTTCTTCTGCTGAAGGCTTTTATTGTTGCATTTCAGTTCAAGCTGGCATTTCCGTATTTTTCTCCTTCAGGGTTTTTCTCTGGGTCCCTGCTGGTTTTTACCTCTTTATTAATATGAATCTAGTAAAACACATACAACTAATCTAATTCTACATATGAAAGAAAGAAATTCATGGAATTGCATCAGTCTTCAGTTCTTCCTGAAGTCAGTTCTATGCCAGGCTTCTCCACTTGAAATTTGTATTATTAAGGGTTACTTGCCAAACAGAGAAGTTAAAATGCGGCTGGTGTTCTCTCAAACTTTTAATCCAACTGCAACAACATAGATAAATACTATTCAAGCAGACTCCCCTCTTCAGCTTCCACTATATTGTGACCTATTTCTAAGCTTTCTGAGCAGCAGATACCTTACCTTGGTATTTTCTGTGAACACAAATGATCCTGCTTGCTCTAAGAAGAGAGGCAGGGAGGCATTAAAATCTGTTAATCATGTTGTTGAAAGTAGGCAGCCAAAAGCTGCCCGTATGGTTGTCAATGCAGAAAGGCAATGTAGTGTTGCTGAAACCAAGCTGTTCCAGAGGGGAGAGATCCTGAGTATTGCCATCTTTCTGGCAAGGTCACAGTAGAAGATGCTGTAGACATTTGCCACCAAGTGTTAAAAGCAGCATTTGCTAGAAGTTCTGCGTGGTGCTATGAAGGTTTTTGATGAAACCTCTCTGCAGAGCTGGTAACTGTGTAGTGAGATACGGTGTTTGGCACCTGGAATGAGGAAAAAAAAAAAAGGAAGAATTAGTCACAGGAAGAAAACTGTTCCCTGTTGTGCAGTTCCTGTCCTCATAGAAGTTTCATCTGATTTATTCCTTTTGTAAAGCTCTACAGGACTGAAGACACCAGCACTAAATTCATTTTGGTTGAGGGATCTGAATCCTTGTTTTTTGAGAAGCCCTACTGTCACTCTTTGCCTTTAATGAGATTTTTCAAGAAGCATCACTCCAGATGATGCACAGTATTTGCAATCGCATAATCAGCATGGGTCTTGGCAGCCCATGCATTCAAATTTCTCATTATTGGATGTCTACTTTTATCTTAAATACTTTTTTTTTCTTTTCAGCATTTCATTTGAACTGCTTCCATGTTGACTTTTGTTTCTTCAAGCGTTTGGATTATAGGAGTGTATTGTTTTGGTTATTTTCTCTTTTCTTTCCTTTTACCGTAAGGACCATTTGACCTAAATAGTCGTTATCATTCCAGGTTTATGTATTGAAACGACCACATGTGGATGAGTTTCTTCAGAGGATGGGAGAGCTCTTTGAATGTGTACTCTTCACAGCCAGCCTAGCCAAGGTTTGTTCTGCTCTTCATCTCGTTAGCCCATTCGGTGCTGGTCAGCAGACTTCTGGTTGGGGTTTCTATGGATAATTATTACCACAATTAGTACTATCTTAATTTTTCCCCTTCTTTTCTGCTTCTTTGTCTGACAGTGTGTACTTTGTCTGCTAGTGTGTGGGTAAGTGTTTCCATGGTAACCCCATCACATATGGGCTTGTCTCATAATGTAGCCTCCATGCATTGCTCATAATGCCAATATGAAAGGCTTACACAAGTTACCATGGTTATAGTGAGAAATTAGAACAAATAGCGTGCGAGTAAAGCACTGTATTAAAGCTGGGCATGAAATATAAAACACACTGTATTTAATGCTATCTACATGATCAACCAGTGATTCAGAAGTTCACTGCATCTGAAAATTGGAACATGTTTTTGTTCTGTCAAGGTGCAGTTGCAATCTGGAGTTAGAAAATTAGACATTTTGCAAAGCTTGAATCATCAACACGAATATTTTGTGCCCTCTGGTCTCCAGTAGCGGTAGTACCTCGTAGGTAGTTTTGTGGTAGACATGTCCGTAGTAGACATCTTAAATTCTTCACTTCTTTCAGTGTGTTCTATTTGTGGTGTCTTGTTTGTAAAATTACATTGCTTATTTCTAAATAATACTGTAACATAGGAAGCTTTCACTTCAACCTAGTGTAGAGATGGTGGAAGGGGACAGGCCCCTGTTTGATCTGCTTTAGTGCCCTCTTATCAGAGAATTCTTCCCTGCAATCTGTTTACCGTGTTCTGTTCAGTCACATTGTGAAAATCCTAAAAAAGGGAACAATTTCATACTGCAGTTACATGTCTGGCAGTTTTCATAGTCAAGAAAGATGATTGATTTTGACATCAATTTTGTTTCTCAGTTTAAAATATAGGAAAGTGGTAACTCCTATCCTGCAAAAATAAGTTACAACTACTGTTTTCAAGTACATGGTTATTTCATGTTCTAGTTTATTTGGGTATTTTTCTTTGGGCAGTTTATATCAATTGTTGGATTTGAAGCTGTGCCTCACTCAAAGTATCATCTTACATATAAAATGAGAATTTCCAACTATTGTACATGACTATTTTTCCTAAGAATATCTTTGTCTGATCTTTTATGGCCCAGTTATGCAGTTTGGTGATCTTAAGATTCTTACTGACTCAGTCGCTCCAAGGGTATTATTTGCTAAAGCTACATCAAGCTGAGATGCATTCATTGCAGTTTGTCTTCAGAGGCACGTAGAAGTGAATTGATTCTGGAAATGGCTTCATATAATTTTTCTTTTAGCATTGGCTGATTTTATGGTAATGATAAGCAAGATCTCTGGATCCATCAACTTCTAGGTAACTCCTAGCATAACTGTAAGCTGGCTGTAAGAACAAAACCCAATTGATAAATCACAGAAAGCATTAGAGTGCAAGTTAGCCTTCCACAGAAAGATAACAATCCTACTTTTGCATTCTGTCTCAATCACTTCAGATTTGCAGGCATGTAAGTTAATTAACAAGGAGCAGGGAAGAAATTGAAGAAAGAACATTTTATCTGAAATTATGTCCCTTCTTTTGTATAGTTCTGTACATTAGCCTTATCTGCACATTGCTAACTTCATGTTTCTAACTTCTGTTTTTAAGTATGCAGACCCAGTAGCTGACTTACTGGATCGCTGGGGTGTGTTCAGGGCAAGGCTCTTTAGAGAATCCTGTGTTTTTCACCGAGGAAATTATGTGAAGGATCTGAGTCGACTGGGACGTGAGCTGAGTAAAGTTATTATAGTAGATAATTCCCCTGCATCTTACATCTTCCATCCTGAAAATGCAGTAAGTATTCTTACTATTCGAGGTGCTCAAGTGTTACTTTATCTTTCTCATCCTTGCCCAGACTTCCTGATTCAGAAAATAGTCTTTCAGAACACTAACATGTATTAGTTTCTGTATTTTCTTAGACTGCAGGTAGGTTCTGTGTTCACTGCCAAGTGGTAAAGGACTAAGGCAAACTGATCTTGACAGTGTGTCATAATCGTGACTGTTTGTCTGCTTTCAGTTTTAGCTATTGGTCTGAAGTCAGTTTTTAGAAATACCAAGCAGTGTAGAACCTGAAAAACTAAAGTAGCTCTAAAAAGCAAAGCTGTCCTCCAGCATTATCTTTTGTTCTTTGGAATGGTGATTTCAGAAAGAATAGCTTTTGGTACTCCATCTTTTTTCATTATGTGAAAGAAAACATTTTATTAGACAAGATAATTAATGCTTTACTGGTTACTGTCTGAGTTCTGTATTCATAGCTAAGGGGAATTAAAAAATCAAGATCCTATTGTGGTGTTATGCTTCTCTTTTAAGTATTTTTGTGATAAGTCGCTTCATGATTAGAAATGTTAGTCAACAAGTTCATCAAGTTTTAGGAATTAAGGATAAAAGGCAAGCAGCAGTACTTCAAGGGAGAATAATTTGGAGCCATGCACATTTTAGCTGTGTTTCGTATCAGCTCCAGAAGCTGTGGTGGAATGGTCTGGCACTTGTTCCATCCATTGCTCCAGTCAGTACGGATGTTCACATCTGTTTTGTAGCTGCCAGCATAGCAAGCTGGAACTCCCCTTAGATCTACTGACTTTTAAACAACCAGGTTGTGCAGTGTTTTCTTTGATGTTTTTCTAGGCTGCCTTTTCTGTGAACTGTTAAAATTAATGTAGGAAATTCTTACCAGGAACACCATTTTGCATGGTCCTGCCACTCTGGGATAGCTTTTTTATTTTTTAACACGAGCTATTTATCTTGCAGCAGTCAGTTTTTAAGATCAAATCCTAATACTGTGGTGCCCTAAGTGATCAGGTGAAAACATTTTTCTGGTTGGTGCCACACATGGCTTAAAGTTGCTATTTATAATAACCAGGAGCTGTAGCTGTAATTTATGTGCATGCTTAAAATTAAAAACCTGATCCAGATCATCACTTGCCATCTCAGAATTCAGTGCCAGGAAAGTAATGAGCTGTAGAAATTTGGGAGATGAAATTAAAGGCCTTTTCAGAGTGATTCAATCATGTATAGAAAAGTGCTGCTAGCTAACCGATGTTCGAGTCTCTGCAGAAACCAGAGCTTGTAACAAGATCCAAGATAGTCTTTAAAAGACCTCAGTATACTTCCATAGTAAAGATACACAGAACTCCTTCCCTAAATCCAGCCCACATATTTAAGAAGTGTTATTATGTGCGTTATTTTCTGAACCAACTTGCAAGGTCTTATATTTTAATCGAGAACTGTTCTGTACTCGCTGTTTAAATATTTCCTCTGCAACGTCATGCCAGAAGGGGTTGCTGCTGCATGCCTATGTTTAGTGACTCACACTGATAATACTTAGACAGGAAAAAAAGACTTGCCTGTAAATAGTGTCACTACAGCTTCGTAACCTGTATCTTCCTTCTAGTTTATTGTGAATAGAGTATCAAGGCTGCTGAGCAAATTCAGCTGTCCAGTGTTGGGTAATGTAGGTTATCTGGACATATAGAAGGTCAACTGTATGTCAGTTGTTCTACAGTTTGATTTGGAAGGTCAGCTATTTTACAGTTTGATTTGGTGGACTTACTAATTAGATATCCCTGTGAGGGTGATGAGGCCCTGGCACAGGTTGCCCAGAGAAGCTGTGGCTGCTCCATCCCTGGCAGTTTTCAAGGCCAGGTTGGATGGAGCTTGGAGCAACCTGGTCTGGTAGAAGGTGTCCCTGGCCATGGCAAGCGGGTTGGAACTAGATGATCTCTAAGGTCCCTTCCAACCCCAGACAATCCTGTGGCTTGAACCTGGTGCTTGGCTTGAATGCTAATGACCAGCACTTCACCTTACTGTAATGGCAGTGAGTATTACAGGGCGCCTACATAGGCAAAAGTCATGTGTTCTTCATATCATGAAGTCATCTTAGTATTTGCTGGTTGCTTTGTTTCAGGTGCCTGTGCAGTCCTGGTTTGATGACATGACAGACACAGAGCTGCTAGATCTTATTCCTTTCTTTGAAGGACTAAGCAAAGAGGAAGAAGTTTACAGTATGCTCCATAAACTCTGCAACAGGTAGCCCTTAACTTTGACTGACTTCTGCTACTAGCAGATAGAGGCTGTCTCCATCTTTTTCAGCTCTTTCAAATGTAAGCTTTGGGGAGGTCACCCCTGTCAGAAGTGCTACTCTTGATCTTCCTGTTACATTGGACACGAAGGACAATCATGAGTGATGCTGTTAAGCCTTCAGAAGCCTGACTCCTAAGGTCATGTGTTCAGACTACTTTTTTAAAGGAAAAAAAAAAAAAGAAAAAAAGAAGCTATTTTAAATGGGACTCTTTTAATGAATTTCATAAATGGACATCTTTTACTGGATCAGCTTTTCTTAAAACATGCCAAAAAAGAAGCTTGTATTTCAGCAGTTGAATTTCTCTCCCTTTCTTCCCCTCCCACTATGCAGACAATTTTACCCCCCTGCTTAGAGCAGTTGACCTGACTCTGAATTTTTTCTTACAGAATGAAGTGCCTTTTTGAATGTTATTTTAAGATAAAAATTCATTTTTGTATAAGACGTATTTCCAGACATCTTTTAGTCTTGTATTGTCTAAATGCTTTAAAAGGAAAAAGGAAAACTTTTATAGAGCACTGTAATATATAACAAAGGAAAAAGTTGAAACAAAGATGCTGGGTTCCTGTCTCCACGATGACATTAAGTTGTATTACATTTTGTCATGCTCAGAAGGTTTCAGCGTCTGTGGGAGGGATGATCTTGGTTAATTACATGGTGGTTTCACTGATGATTTTGGGCACAGTTTTGAACATATCTGCAGTTGTTTGAGTATTAGGGAATAATGGAATTGAGAAAATAAGGTGGCTAATAGATCTAAAGCACCCTTTATTCTAGACAGATGAAATTCTGTTGTCTCTGCTTACGCACAACTGCCATGCCTCTCGTTTTTTGGAAAACCATTATCTTGGGAGAATGGGGAGGAGATCTATTTATTAGTTTTAAGATTCTTTTCTTAAAAAAAAACACAAAAAAAATCTGGGTAAGCTGGATCTGTATTGAGCTATTTTGAGTACTTTTTTCTTTTAATTGCTGCTACTGTATACTCACCAAATGGAGTTGACCATCGGCTGTTAAACTGTTTTTGCCACTGTGCCTGTGCTATGAAACATTTTCTGTAAGCTGCAGACTTGGGCAATAAATAAAATACAGGCTTCATAACCCACCCCAATGTATTAATCCTATGGTATCTGATATACCAGAAAATTCAGTTAAAGGTGACCTGTAAAAGATTCTGGTTTTTTTAGGGATTTTTTTTTCAGTTGGGATGAAGCCCTCTCTTTCTTTGGTATATAAAATTGCAAAAAGCATTTTTCCCACATCTCTGATTCATATTCTTCTTCCCCAAGGTGTATGGTGCAGATCAGTAGCTTTATTGAGTCTTGCTAGAAGGGCAGAAGTTGCTAGCCTGGACTAAAACCGGTCCTCTGGCTTTGTGGTTGAGTAAGTCTCATCTCTGAATCTGAGAGCCTGGTTAGCATCTTCTGTAGTGTCATAGATCCCTTTCAGAAGAATAACCTTCAAGTATTTTATGCCTTTGAAGAACAAGGCGTGCCTTTTTTTTTTTAATCCCACTTACCAGTGTCACCTTTTAATTATTGTACGCACCAGAAATCTCCAAACATAAAAACTACAGCTATGTTTGGCTGTTGTCTGAGAAAACTAAGAGGTGTAATTGGTGCTTCTAATTAGCCTTGTGCTAAATACTGAATAGTAGATCCCCCTTTGCCTTTCCTGTTTTTCTCAAAATGTCTTGACGACTTGGAAAAACATTTTTGCGATGGACTTGGAATTATCATCCTTGTCTAAAACATTGGTGAAGCAGCTTAACAAATTCCTTCATAGAAGGGCAGGCCAGCCTACGCAGGCAGTGAGTAGGTTGTCTTAGGTGCAGTATAAAACCGAAAGATGACTTTGGCCCCTTGCAGGGCAGCTGTGCACCAGCTGCACACTGTGTCTGGTAGCGAGGGATGTTAGAGGCAGTCCCATGACGCTCGTGAGTCTGTACGGCATTACCGTTTTGTTTTCTTACCAGTTGGCGTTACCTTAGTACTGTATAGTTCTGTGCCACAACAAAAGACAAAACTGTCACATTAAAAAAGTACATTGATAAAAAATGAAAAAGAAAAAAGGACGTATGGATTCTGGTTAGTCCATTAACGTTTACTTTCAGTTTAAGATTGTTTAATTTTGTATTTGACTTCAGAGTAATGAAACTCTAAGCTGCCAAAAAGTTGTTCTCTGAGCAGTATTTTCAACTGTGTTTGTAGCTTCTAGGCTTCAAATACAGTTTGCAGGGAAGTATTCAGGTTGTAGTTAGTTGTGCAGGTATGATAGGAATGGCTGAAAAAATTCAAAGATTTCTCACTAGCATTAGACCAAACAATCTTGCAATTAGACAATAAATAACCCCACCGAGACATTACCATGTAACGGTTGTGACCTGTTGTATGTGAGACAAACCATGTCATTAGTTTGCATTTATGAAAGCAGCGATTTCATGAACCAGTTGCCTTAAGTCTGTGAATGAATGTTGATTATTAAAGTGTCTTGTATTGTTTTAAAATCCACATATAATGGGCAACTGAACTTCTGCACCAGCTTCTGTAGGAACGGTTCTGATGGTGTTCTCTACTTGTTCTGTAATGTTTGTTTGGGCTCTTGAAATTGAATTTCAAAAAACAAATTTATTTTAACTTAAAATGACATTTGGTGATAATGTAAAGGAAAAAACTTAGCAACAGTTTTGATCTCTGCTAGTGTTTTAAGAGTATTTTCTGTAACTTCTGATGAAAAATATTGGTGTTTTAACTCACTCCCATTGAAGTAAAACTTGGAGTGCTCTGCAGTCAGGTTTGAACTTCCCTGGGTTATCAAATTTGGCCAAAGGGATCAAACTGCCGTAGTGGTTTATTTTGACACTATCATCATACTTGAAATTTCAAGTGTTAAGTTTGCGTGACTATACATACGCTATATAGTTAGAGTTTCTAGATTTTAACAAAGCAATATAGTTCTGTCCATAAAGTCAGAAAATGAGTGGAATGTTTGTAAAATTTGCAATACGGGTATTTGATTGTATTTTAAATAGGAAAAAAATACTTGTTTCCTAAAGCTCTTGCATATTTTGAAGTGCAGTTAATGCATGCAGGTCACCAGGGCTGTTATAAACCCTGGGTTTCAATTTTTATTTCTGGATATTATAGAAGTGTTAAGATGTCCTTTCCAGTTGGTCATTCTGTTCAGCTAAAGAAACAACGCTGCCTGGCCTGAAGTTCTGTTGTCCTTTTTATGTTGGGTTAAAAAAGGTTTTTTGCCTGTATAGGTATTTTTAACTTAAACTGTAAGGCAGAATGCCTTAGATTCTTGAAATTCAACTGAAGTGTTATGATTAAATTGCCATTTGTAAACTAGGGCTGTGCACAGAATACTTGTTAACCACCAGGAAGCGTGGCAGGTTTTGAATGGAGAAGCGTAGCAAATGTACAATGTTGCTGTGTTCCTTTAGGTAGCTTTGGAAGAATAATTTGTCTGTTTGTTTTGCCCTTCAATCTTTTCTTTGAACAGCAAAGCTATACATGGAAGAAACTCAACACCTGAAGACATTTGGTTATCAATGTATGCAATCACTTTATCACAGCATGATTTTGATTAGACTGGTTGGGGACAATAAAGTATCTAAATGACAGTGGTGTGTACGGATGTTGCAGCTTTTGAAATTTCAGTGTAAAAAAAATCTGTAGCTATATAATTTGCAAACACATAATCTTATGTTTTACAGATTCTTTTTAAACTAATAAAACACAGTACTGCACAGCCCTATTTGTAAAACAAAACCAAGTTTGTGCCTCTGATTTCCAAGGTGCTGTGATGTTGTTATGCCTTTGTGGGGTGAGGAGGGCAGGTGAGACTTGCGTGGAGCAATTGCTTAAAAATCTCTGGGCTAACTATGCAAAACCAGCTGTCAGTTTTCTGTTTCACATTATATTGTAAAATCCCAGCTGATTTCTTTTTTTTCTCTTCATTCTTGTTAATGCTTTATTGGGAACTTCTTAATAGAGGAGTAAGCAATGGAAATGTTTCTTTTTTTCTCTTTTTTTTTTCTTTTTTTTCTTTTTTGTTCCTAATAATGGAGCCGTTTACACGTTAATGCAATGAACAATCCAGCAATACTTGAGAAACACTACAGATAGCATATGAGTGTTTTCAGGAAAGAGAAGTGTTGTCAATCAGGTATTGAATGGTTTCTTTACTGTCACAAATAAAAAAATTTAACAATATAGTTACTTGTGCATGTAATACTTCTCTGGGAAAAAGAGTTTCTGCACTTCTCCTTCCATAATAGGCACTGCCCTAATTTGAGAGGAACTTTATTCCTGCTGATGCACATCCACGTTAGATAGTAAAATCACCCATTTCTCTTCCACTCTCCTCCCCCTCTCCTCTTTTTAAGTCATGTATATGACTCCTTATTGAATGTCCTGGCACCTGCTTGTGCAAACAGAGCTGGTGAACTACTGATGAACTCGGCTAAATAAATTGGTGGTGACTCTTGCACACGTTCCAGCTATTTAGATCTCTTGGATGAGATCATACAATAATTTTTTCAAGTCTCAAAGCTGTGTGACTTCTTTTGAAGGGCTTCTTCAGCTTCTTGAATAGCTGTTCTTAACATCGGTGCCATACCCAAGTGAATATCTGAATAAAACACTTTATTTGGTTGGAAAGTCTATTTTGGGATTTTTTTATCTGACACAGTAAGACTTAGACAGAGCCCTCCTTTCTAGGAAAAGGCACATATTATTAATGCTTTATGAGCAGTAAACCTCAGGCCTGTTAGGATAAGCAGCTGGATCAAGATAGCACATTAGTTGCAATTAAAAATAGTAGTTATCTATTTCTGTGATCAGTTGGAATGACCTAGACTGCCTTTATTTTGTACTGGTGGGTTGGATTCTTTGGTTATTTTTAGTTGTATTTTTTTAATTATTATAATTTAATTTTGCCAATCTCCTTAGCTGCTACTTAGGATAAAAATGCCTTTCTTTCACTCAGTAAACAAGTATTCAAAATTCATAAAACAGCTCATTTATAGTGGTGAGAAAGATACTGTTGTACTGAAGGAAACTAAGTGTCTGCAGAATTCAGAATACTCTGTACACGTATATGCCTTCCAGTACTTTTTCCCCTTCCTTTTTATTGTGTTCTGACTCAGAAGGAAAGCCAACTGCTCTAATTCCCTGCAAGATGGGATAGGGTTCTTCCAGGTGGGCTGCAGCTCCAGGGGATCCTGCAGTCTCCAGCAGTTTTCTTGGCAAGCGACTTCTTGCTTGATCCGGACTTCCTACCAACTCGGCTATGCTGGCAGGAGACCAGGGCTCTTTGGTTGGTTCTGCTGGAGCTACTGGAAAATAAATGATCTTTGGGTAGTATATTGGTTGGGACAGGTTGGCAAACCCAAACTTGGAAAAGTTCCAAGGAGTGTTTTGTTTAAAGCCTCCTCAAGTGTGATTCCAGAGGGATCCTGCTGAGGAGCAGGTTGTCATCTGCCCGCTGCCGTGTTAATCAGTGTTGCTGAAGCAGAGAGCATACACTAACATCTTGGACTTCATAGAGGTCAGTTTCTGTCAGTAAAGCAGGTCTGCATCTGCAGTTACACACCTTCCCAAACAGCAACTGAAAAAGGTTAGATTGGTCATTGCTGAAGTCTGCAGCAAACTGAATTTTTGAGGTGGTGGCTGTGTCAGCTTAGCTGTATCCTCCAGACCTTGGTGGACCCTATGCTGTAATTGTGCCTCTGCCACTCTTATATGTGCAACCAGCATTGCTTAATTTTGTAACTGCCTTTTAATTTAGTGCTGTAGACACACATTTGGTTGGGATGCGAATTGCAGGAGAATGCTGGATGAAGAAACGAAACACAGCTGGCCCCTCGGCCTTGGCCATCATCTCAGGCTAAACTCCAGCAAGGATAACTGTTGCTACTTGAAGATGAACAGAGGAGTCACCGCTGAGCCAGAAACTTGTCACCCCCTCTGAGAACCACTGTTCTTCTAGATCACGAGGGATGATGGTTTTGTTCATACAAATGCAATGTGCACCCACCTGTGAATACCCACCACTTCAGTACATGTTGCACTTGGAGAGTCTGAGGCTTGACAGTGGGTTGTTTTCTTTGTCACATTTTAATGAGCTTCTGTGATGAAAACCAAATTCCTTTCCGGTGTAGCTTTGTGATTTCTCTTTTTTTCAAGCTTTGATTCAGTTTGACAATAAACTATCTGTGTTATTTTTTTTCATCCTCTTCATGTCTGATAATGCATATAGTTGAGGTCCACTCCTAGAAATCCCCTTCCATGTCATTCACATCCACATGTCGTTCTTCATGGGGGAAATACTGGGGAGGGAGGGGGGTTTAGGGGTGGGAGCGGAGACTTCGTAGGACCGTAGCAGATCCTGGATTCTGGGAGGGCATAAGGCAGCAGAAGAAAACATGATGCTGGGGTTCCAGGTACAACCCTGGTGTAGTTCTTGTGTGGAGCACCCCTCATACTGCACTCGGGGCACCCCCTAAAGCCAGCAGTGGTTTCCTCATGTCCACCCCTGGTTTGCATAGATTACTGGGGCTTAGAGCAGATCAGGAGGCGCATTGCTGCTTTTTCTTCCAGGCTGCAGTGGCATCTCTCTGTGCCTGTTGTGAGTGCATCCATCCGTGGTGGTTTTGAGCAGGTGACCTGACACTGGTCTTGTGTTAACCGGTGACGACCAGCCTGCAGTCAAATAACATTTATGCCTGGAGTGAACTTGGGGAGCTGCCTTTTACTTGAGTTGGATTTTCTCAAGGTGACCAAGTGAAGCTGCACTTCATCTGGTATATGTCCCTTGAGTTATGCCCTCACATAGTAAGTAGCGTGTGAGTATCATGCTGAAGGAGTCTGGTGTAAGTTAAGCACTTGCTAGCAAGTTACCCCACAGAATACAAAAGCCTGACATACCTTTGTGTGGTTTTGAATAGGAATAGTTTTACAAATTTTTTTTAGGATTTTTTTTTTTTTCTGATTCCGTAATCACCTGGTTGCTGTATATCATACTGTGAGACACTGGGAACTGTAGATACATGCATGTATTTTTATGCACCTGAATTCTGGGCATAATACCTGGTGTCATGGACCATTTTGTTCCTTAATGAGCAAACGCATTTAAGAGGAGAGGGAGATTTTTGTGGAGACCCGAGCCCATTTCTAGCTTACCAGGGCCTAGTGCTGCGTTAAGAGTAGGGCTAAGACTAAGCACATACGGGTCCTGCCTTTGGCTCTGTGTCACAGGGCTTTGTACCTACCTGTCTGACCCTATATTTTCCTTTTAAGGTTTTCTTTAAATACTGGAGCTTTGATCTTCCCTGAGTCCTCTGTAACACTTCTTAGGAATTTGGTTAAGGCAGGTTCAGATGAATAATAGTTCACTGGCCTGATCCCTGACCTGCTGAACAGATCTTGAAATAGTAACTGGAAGGATACTGGCAAATATTTGGGATAATGATGGTTGCAGTTGGGAAACGGTTGGATTGTTTCATCCCAGAGAGGAGAATGAGCAAGAGGAAGGTGGAGCTGGGGGAGGTCTGAGGTGACTTCGTGGCTCTGGGCTGTGGTGGGCCGAGGTGTGACGTGGGTTGGTGGTGGGTGCTCTTGGCTTTTATACACCCATCAATCATCAAAATTTCCTGGAAATGGAGAGGATTTTAAAGGCTTGGGCAATGCAGGGCTTGGTCGCACCACGAGATGGTGCAGCTGTGCAGCGTTGGCTTTTAAAGGCGCCGTAAAGGAAATTTAGAAGACATTATCTCAAGTAAAATCATCACCACAGCTTTGGTTTCTGAATCTCCTACCAGGTTTTGCACTCCACTGGTCCACAGATAGCATCTTCCTTTGGTTAAAAACCTCCCTTAGTATTTCAGAGGCAATGTCTTCATTTGCCCGATGAATGCTGAGTTTCCTTTGGGAAAGGAGCTGGTAGCCCCACAGCAGAGTACAGGGCACATTAAGTATTTGCAGTAATTTTAGTTACTGATCATTTATTTTTCCTTCCATGAAAATGCAGAAACATATGATTAACACCTGAAAAATACAGAGGGAAATTAGTATTTCCTGAATAGCTGAATTCAAAAATACATCCTTACACCTTCCCTAGTGTGGTAAACCATTTCTGCACACACACACACGAAAGCTTTGCTACTAACCTTTTTCTTTCTCTTTAAAGCGGCATCATTTTGTATCGGGATTTGGCTGAAGCGCATCATGAGGACAGTGGACAAATGTTAAGTCTCCAGGAGGGGGAGGAAAAAACGAGGGAAGAAATCTGGTGCCAAGCTGGCAGGTGTATAACAAGGCATCACTCCGGAGCCTGTTCCGCATCCCTGCCGACCCACATGCCCTGAGCTGTGCCAAGACCTGAGCCAGCGCATGGGGTGAAGGGGGACAGCAGCCGGGCACCCAGGGCTTGAGGCCAGGCCAGAAGGGCTGCATCTGCCAGGGGATGTAGCACCCTTGCAGGGATGGATCTCCCTGTCAGTGCATTGTCTGGTTTTACGTGGCCATCACGCTCTCGTTTGCTGCGAGAAGGTGGATTTGCAATGTGTAAGCCCCAGCTGGCAGTCCATCTCCCTGCTTTCTGCTCTCATTGCATTTCCAGTTGATGGTCCTTCCCACCTGGAAGAATCTGCCCCATGAGGAGAGACTGAGGGAGTTGGGTCTCTTCTGCCTGGACCTCATGACAGCATTCCAGTATTAAAAGGTGGCTGTAAGGAGTATGGAGGCTCTCTCTTCACAGGGATTTATGGAGAAGACGTGGCAACAGCTACAAGTCACACTGGGAGAGGCTTTATCTTGAAATGCGAAAGAAATTTTTTACAGTGAGAACAGTCAATGACAGAAACAACCTCCCCAGGGACATGGTGGAGTCTCCATCGCTGGAGGTTTT